ATATTCAACTCAGAAGCAATTCTGAAAGAACTAAATACATCAGTTTCAAATTCAAAATCAGATACCATACCTGATAAAACTGATAACTCATTACCAGAAATCAGACCCAATACTCTAGTAGTAGAAACAAATTCTAGTTCTCTAATTTTTTTTTCAGAACCAGATATCTCATTATCTGTGATGCTACAGCTCTAACAACAAGTAGCTCACCAGAGTCAACTAATTATACAACTGTAACAAAAGATTGAAGTTTTTGAGATCTTCAATTAACAACTTATACAGATATAGAGAGAAGACAACCAGTATGCTCACTAGCATGCTGCTTAATATACTGCTCTCACAGAGTCATAAAATTTTTAGATAATCCCAGACAAGATAAAAAACTACCTGAGGACCCAGACATTCATGACTTTATTCTCACTCCTATATCTATATATACTATTAATACTCTTATTTCTTATAAAGAGTATATAACTTTAAAAAAAACATCATTAAATATTGGATTTCTCTCAGAAGATAAAGGCAAAAGATTCAGACAGTTACTAGAAGAATTTGCAGACCTATTTGTATTAGATATTAATGAACTAGAACAAACTAATCTAGTCACTTATAGAATTTATACCAAAAACATACCTTCTATAAATTCTTGACCTTATTTAATACTTTCAAGCGAACAAGCATTTGTTAAAGAAGAAATCTAATAAATGCTTAACAATAAGCTAATACAACCATCTAATAGCTTATGGACCTCTTCAATTGTATTAGTATAAAAGAAAAATGTTAAATTATACTTTGTGTAGACTATAGAAAGCTAAATGCTATAACAAAAAAAGATGCTTATCCATTACCTCAAATCGATAAGATGTTGAATACTCTTGCTAGATCATATTAGGTTTCTACACTAGATCTTGCTAGTAGATATTGGCAAGTAGTATATATCCTAGAGACTAAAAAAACTGTATTTGTTATTTGCTATAGAACATATAAATTTAATATTATGCCTTTTGAATTTTGTAATGCTTTTGCAACTTTCTAATGCTTAATAGACAGAATCTATACAAGATAGCATAGAGATTTGTAGTAGTATACTTAGATAATACTATTGTAAACCTTTGATGATTATTTAATCTATCTACGAAAAGTTTTTACGAGAATCAAACAAGCTGAACTCTAATTAAATATTGAGAAATATAATTTTTGAATGCAAAGATTACCATTTTTAAAATATATGATCTCACCTAAAGGCATTGTTCTAGACCCTCAAAAAATCGAAGCTGTTTAGCAAATTCTATCTTCTAAGAATATAATTCAGTTACGATCTTTTCTAGAATTAGTAGAATACTATTGCCAATTTATTTGCAATTTTTCTGCTATTGCAAAGCCCTTGAATTAACTTCTTCAAAAAGACAAACCTTATAAGTAAACTGAAGCTTAACAAGACTTTTTTAAGAAATTAAAGCAAAAACTTATTAGTATCCTATTTTTAGCTATTCAGATTTCAAGAAAATATTTATTCTAGCAACTGATATTTCATATTATAAATTTGTACTACTCTTAATCAACTTGACACCCATAATAAAGAATATCCTGTAGCTTATACTAGTAAAAGCCTAAAAAAAAAAGAAATAAACTATAATGCTACTGAACTAGAATGTGCTGCTATAGTATAGGCTATTAAATATTTTCATAAATATCTTGGAGCTACCAAGTTTATTTTAATTACCAACCACTATGCTCTTAAATAGTTATATATTGCTAAACCTAAAGAAGATTAGACTATTGGATACTCAAGTTATAGGCTTATAACTTTGAGATTATCTATAAACCAGAATAAATACACTACAATATCGATACACTCTCATGATTACAGACTCAGATCAAAGAGCCCAAGTTCTCATAAATTTAGACCAATATTACTAATTGTACCAGTATTTAGACACAGACATAATATCTAAAAACTTTATCTAGAATCAGACAAAACAATTAATTAACCAAGCATGATATTTTGAGATCAAATACCACTTACTTTACAAAAAATAGAAAAGACCCAAATAGACTCTTATGAGTTATCAAATAGATAGAAGTAAAACCTGTTCTCTATATGATATATAAATATCCTACTACTAGATATTTAGAAACAGACACAATGTATTATAAAATAGCTAAACAATATTATTGGGATCAAATGTATTGAAATATTAAAGAATATGTATAGATATGCAAAGACTACCAGAAAAAACTAAAAAAAAAAAAAAGAACCTTTATATCTGATTCAGATTGAACAAGCTTTTGAATGAATTAAAATTAATCTAGTTAAACTATTACTAATTACAAACCAGAACAATTACTATATTATTATAGCAACAGATTATCTAACTTAATAGCTAGAAGCCTATACTGTACCAGATACTAGAACCAAAACCTTAGCAAAATTCATCTTCAAAAAAATTATCTGTAGATATGAAACCCCTAAAATAATCTTATCTGATCAAGAAAGAAACTTTCTTAATATTACTGTTTGAATTCTATGTAAAAAGTTTCTTATCAAGTACAAGTTCTCTTTATTATACCACCTTTAGACCAATAGAATAGTTGAATGACTAAATAGAACACTTTGTAAATCACTTGCCAAAGTAAAAGAAACAGATGAAGATTGGGATATTCATATACCTGCTATTCTTTTAGCATATTAAACAAGAGATATGCTACTACTAGTTATATATCTTTCTAGTTAGTTTATAGAAGACAAGCTACTTTACCTATTAAGACTATTTTTTCTACTAAACTACTATCAGATCTAGATACAGAAATAGACCTACAAAATAATATATTACAATGAGTCTATGATCTAATAAAAAAGCTATCTCAAGCACAAGAAGAAGCCTGAGCCAATACAGAAAAATTCTAAGAAAAACAGAAAAAATATTTTGATACTAGAATCAGACCAGAAGAATTTGAAATAGATGAAAAAGTTTGAATACAAATAAAGGTTTTAAAAAGTCAAGATCAGCTAAATTTGAAAACAAAAAAGAAGAACTCTACATTATTTAAATGAAACTGAATAATAGAGCCTATAGACTATAAACATTATATAAAAAAATACTGCAGAAATATTATAATAGTAATCGACTAGCAAAGTACTATGAAAAACAGGCATAGAAACCAATCATAGTAATTAAAAATTCTTAATTTCTGAAAGAAATTTTATTAGATAGAGAGAAACAAAGACAAAATTTTACAAAACAGACAATTGAATAATTTTAAAAATTATAAATAGATACTTTATACGGAAATTTTCCAATTTATACACAATACACAAATAGCTATATATAACAATACTCTGCAATCTGTAATTATCTAAGCTCTTCAATACTTCTTTATCATTTGGAGACAGAACTCTGCTGCCCAAAACAATATAGAAATTTGTTCTTCTAATATCTTTCTGTAGAACCCTAATAATCCTAACAATACTAGTAATATTACTTCTTTAGTTAATATTACAGTAGATACTTCGACTAACTTTACTGATATAGAAGTCTTCTTAGATAATATTTAACTGAAGACTAGTATTACCAATCAGACCAAAAAATGTAATTGATTAGTTGGATAAATTTTTTTTAAACAATTGATTAAAAATTGATTATATCAACTAATCAATAATCGATTAATCGATAATTGATTAATCGATTAATCGATTAGTTGATTAATCGATTATTATGGTTTGCAAAATTATATGAAATTTTAAGATTATTAAAAAAAATAATTACTGATTTTCGATTACTGATTTCTGATTTCTTCAATATTTTTTTTAACTTTTAGACTTGACAAAATTTGTGCATTTATTATTTGTAAAAATTTGATTGAATATTTTAATTTGCAACTCCTATTTCTGCAAATATATTATAAAATGATGAGTATACAATCTTTATTTTCATAAAAATAATAAAATTTTTACAAAATAATAACTACAAATTTTGTTTAATTTAAAAGTTAAAAAAATGTTAAAGAAATCAGAAATCAGTAATTAAAAATTGCAATTACTTTTTTTTTAATAATCTTCAAATTTTATATAATTTTGCAAACTGATTATCCTATATAGCAAATTAATATTTCAAATTATGTATTATCAATATTTACCAAAGATTCTGGTAAATTAAGAAAAATCCAGATTCAATTTTTTGATACAGAAAGTTTTTGCTTGTTCAGAATTTAACATATTCTAATATATTCTTACATCATAATTGATTACTATCGTTGCTACCTCTGGCTATAGATTTTAAATTTCATTTAACGTCATGTTACAATTTTGTGAATAATACACTAAATGCTTGTGATAAGGCTATATGTAAAATCTGGTTAAAATATATATTTAGGAGATAAATATTTAGTTAGGCCCAAGCAAAAACATGCATTTAGAGAAACTTTTTATAAGATTTAGGGAGGTAAAAATTTTCACTACTTACATGCAATTTTTACAATATACTATTGTTTTTTAATTCACATTTAATTAATTTTTAAAAGTCCAATGTAGTGAATTTAATTAATCGATTTACAGGTTTTTGTTATTCATGTTCATATGTATTAATAATAATTTCCAAATTTAAGATATATATAAGCAATCGATAATTGAATAAAGACAAAAATGATAAAATATGATTTAATTAAACTATATATACTAACTAAATTTGTTAATATATTAATATCATTCTAAAAAATATTTTAACACTAAATCACTAAGAGAACTTATAGAAAAATAAATGTAAAAAAAAAAAAACAATAAAATAAATCTATTTAATTGGAGGAAAAATATCTAGATAAGTAAGATTTCATTTTAAAAACAATAATTGATACAAGAAGTAGAAATCCAATTGGCTTTATTTTGGAGTTATATAATTGCTAGCATTCGAAAACAAGCATTCTAAAGAGACAAAAGAAGCAGGAATTGCAAGATATTTTTTTGCAAGTATGCAAAGAATTGGAAAGTCTGATCTTTGCTATTTCTACCAAAAAAATAGATCATTTGTTTCTGTTAGTTCAATTTCAGGAAACATAAGATATTTGTTAATTGTTGTTTGCTTTACATATTTATTATACTGCTGCCAAACTGAGAAGAAAAGGTTTTTTATTGCTGATTTTGTCTCTTTTGCAGCCTCTTCTTTAGGTGAGCTTGTATCATTTTCAACTTGACTTGTATTTCTGTTTAATTCATTGAACTGATTTTGTAATCTTTTAATCATTCTTTGTTTTAGTATTTAAATATAAGAATAGATAGATTTTTTTAAATACTATAATGTGCCTATATAAGTATTGCAAAGCTAAACCTGCAAATCTTATTAGATAAGATTTGCAGGTTTTAGCTTTGCGATACTTATATTATTTTACAAAATAGTATTTGAGAAATTTCAGGTACTCTTAAGCATCTTTCTCAGTATAATTTAGCTAACTATAGAGATCATGCACAAGTACTATGATCAATTGAAGTAAACCTTACGGTAATTTTGTTGAAGATTTATATTGCAAAACACAGATATTAAATTTTAGCCAATCAGCACAACTCTATGATAAAAAAAGATAGTCTCTAACTATCTTTTTTTCATTACGATAATGAATAAATAATTTATTTTCTACTAATTAAAAATTGAACTCAACCTATTGATTTAGATGCTTAAGAGCACTCTTTATTTAAGGTTTATCTATATATTCGTAAAATAACACAAATACCTGCTATATTATTTTACAAATATATCAGATATATTATACTTACGGTTGAACAGAAAGATAGATTCTTGAATCAAAGATCGAGTAAAGATACATATATTCCATAATTATGTAGCTGGAATCATCAACTTGACAGGTTAGTTAAAATTTCTTTTTTTTACCTTATTTACAATATTGAAATCACAATTTGTATTATTTAGCCGGTGAACTAATTTTTCAATTGTTGGAACCATGATACTTAATGTAGTATAATTCGATCTAGAAAAATTTCAGTGGCCTTATCAAATGGGCATAAAAGTTCAACAAAGGTCTGCACAACTTTGAATTCTTCATTTGATAATAACTTGTTATGAATATTAGCACTATTATAATGATGATCATTATTGTTTGAATTTTCAAGATCATTGGTTAGTTACTTAATTGGCCATTCAAGTTTGACAAATCTTTCAAGAACTATATAAGTGGAATTCTACTGTGTTGCTACATCTGTTATTATATCAACTATATTAGCTTTTAATATATCTACCCTGAGTTGAGCTTCTCTTAATTGTTTTCTTTTTTTTCTTCACTTAAAAGTGAAATTAGTGCTTTATATTTTGTAAGTAAGTTGTGTGCAACCTCCAAACCTGCTTCAATATTTAACTGCAACATATATATAGCACAAAAAATATTAACAATTAGGCTTGAGACTAAAAGTCTTTCTGATAATCGTATAATAGCTAATTTAACATTAGAGCCATTATCTGTAGTTATACTTAATATTTTACTTCTTTCTAGACCAAATTCTTCAAGTATAGATTCGATAGAACTAACAATATCATTAGCAGTTTTATATATACCCATTTTGATTATATCTAATATAAGATCATAAATACAAAATTCATCTGAAATCCAGTAGCAGGTTATGCCTAGATAAGAATCATATACTCGAGAAGTCCATAAGTCAAATATAAATAATACTGTATTTATTTGTGTAAGTATATATTTAATAACGTAAGTTGTATGATTTGTTTTATTTATAATTTCATTTTTAATTGTATTTATACATAGCGGTTTGTATCGAAAATCAAATGATTTTAAAAAGGTACAAACCTTTTTATTTTCTAAATAAGAGAAGTATATAGAAGATAAAAAATATGATAATGTCTTGTATAAGCTTCTGTTGTCTTGATGCTAAATAAGATTTCGATAAAGTAGTTTCTATAGTTTGCTGAGAAGATTTTTTAAGCTTTTCAATTGAGCTATGTTCAAGTGACATTTTTGTAATATGATGAACATTGCGGAGATGATTAACTAAATTAGTTGTTGAACTATACCATACATATTGAGTTTGACAACCTTTGACCTTATATTTGGCCTTAGTTATTGGCTTGCCTCAGGCTTAATTCTGAGCTAGTCATAAAATTCAAAAAAGGATTGAGCAAAACCAGGTTTATCAGAAAGTTTTACTCTTTTAGCATTATTATTATTATTATTAGTAGTTTCATTGGCTAAAGGTGGTGATTAAGAATAAGAAACTAAATCATTGTCATCTTGATATAAAATGCTTGCCTATTGACTTGTATTAGGTATATTACTAGAAGTTGAATAAATAGAAAATTCATAATCATAATCATCATCTATAAAAAGCAACAGTTAAGGTGAAGAGTCAAAAATCTTACTTTATATAAAAATATTCACAATTCAAATGCTAAAACTTTTTCAGAGTATCAAAGAAAAAAAAAAAAAAAGTCAACTATATGCTAAAAGGCAATATACATTACTCTGATTATATCAACAATTCAAAAAAATCAAGAAATTGTTTAATATATCTAGATGTTGGTTTAACTAGAGGTATTTGTATATAGAATCAAAATTTTAAAATATCGATATAATCAGAATAATATATAATATTAACAAGAAGTCTTGAACAATAGTAATAGACAGGCATATATATATATATATATATGCTATACATGCATCTGCCTTATATTATATTATATTGTTATTGCTATCTTTTAGTACGTATTTGAACTCTTTCTGGTTATCTTGGTAAAGTCAAAATTAGAGATGTAGCTCAAGCTATTTGAGACGACCCAAATTATATAAAGATATAGCTCAAACTATTTAGAACAACCAAAATTATGTGATAATTAGTATCATATTGTTTTGACAATAAGTATAAACCTAGTAAATATCTATGTGATTCTAATTATTGCATGGTTTGGTTTGTCCCAAATAGTTTGAGCTACATCTCTAGTTAAAATATACTACATAAAGATTTCTCACGTTATACATAATCTTTAATAATTTTTAAGCTTTTATTTATATGTTTAAGATAATTATGGTTTTGCACTTGCAGATTATTACTATTATCATTGAATTTATTCAATTCATATATAGATATTATATAGCTCCAAGAGATATCGGTCTAACAATAGTGAAATTATTCTTAGAATCTCAAGAGCAAGTAATTAACTAAACAGAAACAATTTGAATAATGAAGAGAAATCAAGAATTCAGAATTTGCTTATCTGTAGTATACGTAGTATCAAAAAAAAGAAACAAAGACATATTTCTATCTTGATGAAAGAGAAAGCTACTGCAGTATGTCAAATTTAGATTTATAATAACTAAATAAAATAAGTATTTTTTTATTAAAAAAAGTAGTTATATAGTATTTGTAATAATAATATCCTGATTTATTAGGAATTAGCAGAAATAAAGTTTCTGTTTATTCACATATAGTCAGAGTATTATTAATTAATCCTCTCGTGATCTTAATATAGTAATTGGAAGATTATAACAATAATTTTTGTAATTCTTTGTGTAAGTGCGATTCAAGTCTTAAATTATCCAAGAGTAGTTTATAGATAGCAATACAAAGATGATAATTATCAAGAAAATTCTTTATCAAATTAAAATTTATTATATTATTATTAACAGTATTCCAAAAATAATACTGTATCATTCTATATAAAATACCTACTTTCACTAGTGCACTCTCTAGATTTGTAAATAGTAACTAGTATTATTCAATTTAAAAGTAATAATATATGAGAAAAACTTTCTATTAAAAATATTATCAGCATGATCTGACTTATTATAAAAACCGATTAATAAATAGAGCTGAACAAGCTGATAATATTCCTAACAAAAAAAAATGAATACATAAAATTAAAAACTTAATATTAAAGGGTTTATAATTAAAAGCATTTCACAGTTTATGTATTGAAGAACTAATATCATAGTAAATGATAAATATTTGATTGTTATTTTTATAACGATAATATATTGCTTTAATAAAAAAATATTAAAACTAATTAATTAATAAACCAATCGACCAATCGATTAGTTAGTCAATCGATTGATCGATCAATCAATTAATTGATTAATCGATTAATCAGATTAATCAATTAATTGATTAATTGATTAATCAGATTAATCGATTAATTGCATGTTTGTAAAAGTTAATCGATTAGTTATCGATTCAATTAACTAATCAATTAATTGATTTTTAATTTGGAACACTAATAAAAATCTAAAAATTGACCAAACTTCAAACAATCTTTCACCTAATACAGAACCAGAAGTGAACCCTACTTCAAATAATTTTCTTTTCGAAATAAAACCAAAAACAGAAATTTTTCAAAAAGTTTGAGATGAACTCATCTAAGGCCGCACAAATTTAATATCTTGGTTTTCATAACACGAAACTTTTAAACAGACCCGGCCGGCCGGCTTTTTTTTTT